TCACGGACGTATATATATATAAGTATATATATATATACATATATCAAAATTTGAATGAATGGTGTTTTAGGCCTCTGGGGACATCAAAATGAAAAAGTAAATCGGTCCCGGGCTTAAGTCTTACTATGAGACCTACGTTAATAGCTACTTCCCTATAGGGAAATTCGCTAAAAACAATGTGATGTGCAAGTTATGTTAAGTTAATCTAACACATGTTAAGCAGTTAGAATTTATTTAAAGTAGCCTCCAAATTCATACAAAACATCTATACATTGTAATTTTCATACTGTATCCATGAAAACATATCAATAACATTATTTTCATAACTTAGACACTTTAAAAAATCCAAAGCAGAGCTGGACACAGCAACGGTTATAGAATCTTTTTTTGCTATAATCATTGACATAGTTATAGAATAAATAATCCATGATAAAAGGTTAGATTAAAATAAACCTACCTCAATAGTTATGGAAAATATTATATTTAATTTCTTTGTATCAGCTGTCTGAAACTGTGAAATATGCAGTTTATCAGTTCTTCTTGTTTACATTTAAATGTCAACAAGCAAATGTAAACAAACATTGTTGGTGTTCTCATCGCAGCCATGGAGACCAAATCAATATTTACTTTTAAAATGTTCACCTCAGAACTTCTAAAGCCAAAGGGGCAAAGCCTACGGTCAGTATCGAAATGTGAATAGTCCTATAATGGTCCTTGGTATGGTAGCTATATTTTTGTAAAATTTAAGCCCAGTTGGTTCAGTAGTTTTTGCACCTATTAGTAACACACATACAGACAGACACCATTAGATTTTTATATAATAGTATAGAATAGATAGTATAGATATAGATGGTAGCTATATTTTTGTAAAATTTAAGCCCAGTTGGTTCAGTAGTTTTTGCACCTATTAGTAACACACATACAGACAGACACCATTAGATTTTTATATAATAGTAGCCTATAGATATAAGATTCTGCTATAAAAAGAATCTTACAGACAAAAGTGTGGTTTGGATTCCACTATTAATCTGCAGGTCTCTTAGTTGCCATTAGCTGTATAGGCTATTAATTAACAGCGGTGTCTAAGGAATATGTCGGCCTTAGTCACTAACAAGACAACAAGATCGCGCCACTCATCTCCATTCATACTTGGCTTAAAATACCTACTTTGTATGTTCGCCATTTCATTGAAAAGTATTAAAGTACACGGGACATGATACAAACATTGCCACAATCACAAAAGACAATAACAATGTTGCTGAAACATTTGGTTGTATAATAAATGTTGTTGATCTTGAAGAGCTATCTTGCCATAGTTTATGTTCATTACAGTACTATAAAACCTTATGCCGATTTTAAACCCCAAGGTTTAAAATCAGCGCCAAAGCAACGGACAACTCCATCCAACCATGACGTAACGCGGATTCATACGAGAGCAAAAGACCAAAACTAGGCCGTGTGCAAAGTTCACTTGGAGCAGCGCCGTCGTCGTCGAAGGTCGCGTGTTGCCTCGCCGGTGTAGGACAATTCTATCAATGTCTCATTCGTAGCTCGGAAATTCGCGTTCAGGTGAAAATTGTACGTGCATCGAAATGACAGCAAATGTCAAAATTTCACCAAATTGCTAATTGGGGGAGTGTTTTATTAGTTTTAAGTCGAGTCAGTTGAAATTTCCGGATTAATGTTGCATTCGTGAGGAAATTTGTACATACATCGAACCGATCGCAAATGTCTATTTCTTATCGATTCCTAAATTATCATGATGGTTTTTCAATTGATTCAAAATAATGCCAGCTCGAAAAACAAAGAATTGATAAGTCCTGCACCGTGAAAAAACTGTTGTCGTGAAAATTTCGCTCGGTCAGACAATGCTCCGAGTCAGTTTTAAATGTCCGTGTGTGTATCTTCGTCAGCGTGAATGTTATATGTGTCGACATGTGTACGTAAGTAAATGTTTAGTATTGTCTGTGCTTTAGAAATAGTTGAGTATTGCCAATCTGCCGTTTTTTCACTTGTCTGGTTCATACATAGTTTGCACAATCCTGCCATATTTGTTCCGTCTATTTCATATCCTAGTTGGTCAGTTTAAAATCACATGTTCTAAAATCCAGAAATGAAAATTATTTATTAGATTTGCCGTACGGTATTGCTATAAAATTTAAGTTTGTGATAGAAATTCTGATTACTTTGATTATTATTTATTAAACTGATTTGATAAGCCAATTAAATGAAGAAAAATGATTATCTGTGATATAGGATAACATTTATGTTTATAATATTTTATAATGTTTTTTAACAGTTAAAATATAAATTCATTGAGAGTATTTGATTGTGCAGAGGTGATTTAAGTGGAACATAGCATTGTCCTCGGTTGAAGGCTGGGAAATTATACGGGTTACATAAATAGACTCCTATTAACTTCATAAAATTTAATTATAATAAACAATCAAACAAAATTGACTCAGAAGTCGATTGGCCCTGTTGTACTGATCATGATAAGAAGTATTGTACCCCGCAGGTCTGCTGCAAATATTTCCCTATTGAAATCATTAAACGACTGGCCAGTTGTAACTGACGGATTTGGGGAGTCTGGTAATCCAAATAATAATTATTAAATTAAATTTTCTCGATTCCTGAGACTCTGCATGTTTGTGGGTTAGAGCAAACAGCTACAAAAAGTGCACAATCATTATTCTCCGTTGAAATCGATCGTTTGTCTCAGTACTTGTTAAGGGATAAGGATGTATATTATTTGATGTATAATATGTCAGTTTAGATTGATCAATACATAGTGTTATTTCCAAATCATCTTTTCATTTACCTATATCTAGAGCATAATTCATAACACTAAGTTGACAGAATTTCAGAGTAATCGGCTTATCCGATAATTGTTACTCATAACTCTGATAAACTGATAGTTTCACTTTTTATTTAATCTTTTGAATACAAGCAAAGTTTCCAATAGATCTTTTCATCAGTATACAGTTTAATCGTTACCATTTGCAATATTTTAACTTTTATAGGATTCATTATTCATTTTAATATCATTTTACAAGTTCCAAACATTTCATTCAGAAAATATTAAATAAGAAAAATTTATCAGGTATTGAGAACTGTTAGTATTAAGCTTAATAAGATTTTTGAAGGAGGACATCGACCAGATCTCCCACGATCCCCCAAGGACTTCTGAGGTAATCAAATTGCACTGGCCCACACTCACAACATCTTTTATTCCGCTGCGCTGGCTCTGTGTAATTAGTGTCCTCTTATGTCTTCACTTGATTCTAGGTAATTTCAGGCTACATTGCCAACATTTGTGGCGATATAGACAGCTTTGCTGGCGTTTGGCAAATCATAGCTATAATCTAATGTTCTCGGCTTCGTTGCTAAAATCACCAACAGCTCATCATTACCGCTAACTTAAGTGATATTGCTAGCTTTCGCTCAGTTTGCGGCAACATTGCTATCTTCTTCCAAACTTAAGTTCCGAATAGACAGATTTTTGAAATATCAGGGTTTGGAATAGCGAGATTGAAGCAGTGAAGCTAATGTTGATGGCTCACAGTCCTGTGTTCAACTTAGAACTGGAGGATAGTGGTCTGAAAGTATTACAGACATGTTAAAGTATAGTTTTGTTGCAGGAGAGGATTGAAGCAGTGAAGCTAATGTTGATGGCTCACAGTCCTATGTTCAGGTTGAAACTAGAGGATAGTGGTCTGAAAGTATTACAGACATGTTAAAGTATAGTTTTGTTGCAGGAGAGGATTGAAGCAGTGAAGCTAATGTTGATGGCTCACAGTCCTATGTTCAGGTTGAAACTAGAGGATAGTGGTCTGAAAGTATTACAGACATAAGTATAGCTTGGTTGCAGGAGAGGAACAGTGAAGCTAATGTTGATGGCTCACAGTCCTGTGTTTAACTTAGAACTGGAGGATAGTGCTCTGAAATTATTACAGATATGTTAAAGTATAGTTTTGTTGCAGGAGAGGATTGAAGCAGTGAAGCTAATGTTGATGGCTCACAGTCCTATGTTCAGGTTGAAACTAGAGGATAGTGGTCTGAAAGTATTACAGACATAAGTATAGCTTGGTTGCAGGAGAGGAACAGTGAAGCTAATTTTGATGGCTCACAGTCCTGTGTTCAGGTTAGAACTGGAGGATAGTGCTCTGAAATTATTACAGATATGTTAAAGTATAGTTTTGTTGCAGGAGAGGATTGAAGCAGTGAAGCTAATGTTGATGGCTCACAGTCCTATGTTCAGGTTGAAACTAGAGGATAGTGGTCTGAAAGTATTACAGACATAAGTATAGCTTGGTTGCAGGAGAGGAACAGTGAAGCTAATTTTGATGGCTCACAGTCCTGTGTTCAGGTTAGAACTGGAGGATAGTGCTCTGAAATTATTACAGATATGTTAAAGTATAGTTTTGTTGCAGGAGAGGATTGAAGCAGTGAAGCTAATGTTGATGGCTCACAGTCCTATGTTCAGGTTGAAACTAGAGGATAGTGGTCTGAAAGTATTACAGACATGTTAAAGTATAGTTTTGTTGCAGGAGAGGATTGAAGCAGTGAAGCTAATGTTGATGGCTCACAGTCCTATGTTCAGGTTGAAACTAGAGGATAGTGGTCTGAAAGTATTACAGACATAAGTATAGCTTGGTTGCAGGAGAGGAACAGTGAAGCTAATGTTGATGGCTCACAGTCCTGTGTTTAACTTAGAACTGGAGGATAGTGCTCTGAAATTATTACAGATATGTTAAAGTATAGTTTTGTTGCAGGAGAGGATTGAAGCAGTGAAGCTAATGTTGATGGCTCACAGTCCTATGTTCAGGTTGAAACTAGAGGATAGTGGTCTGAAAGTATTACAGACATAAGTATAGCTTGGTTGCAGGAGAGGAACAGTGAAGCTAATTTTGATGGCTCACAGTCCTGTGTTCAGGTTAGAACTGGAGGATAGTGCTCTGAAATTATTACAGATATGTTAAAGTATAGTTTTGTTGCAGGAGAGGATTGGAGCAGTGAAGCTAATGTTGATGGCTCACAGTCCAGTGTTCAGGTTAGAACTGGAGGATAGTGGTCTGAGAGAGAAGAATGATGTTCCCTTAAAAGACATGTACCCGGACACGTTCAGAAATGTGCTCAAGTAAGTAATTTTTTTGTGTTCTCAACTTTGATTTATTTTATATTGTTCTTTAATTGTGTCTAGTCTTGACATTTAAAGTTGATTGATTATGACACTTCATATAAGTGTTAAAAAAATTACCTTGGATTTCCCTTGGAGTTAAATTATATTTAATTTAATTTTGCTCTACAATAATACAATAATATCATGATCCGGTAGGTAGAGTATATTTGAGCTAAACAAAACAATAAACATGTTATCAAGAGTTCATTCCATAATTTCAAAGACCATTTTTTTTTAAGAAAGGCAGAGCTATTTTAGTAAATGAGCCCAGAGGTTTTAGGTACGTTGGAGTCGCTGGTAAGATAAAAGTTATGTTCATCAAGAAGGTGGAGGGAGTCACGGATATCCCTCTGACCCATAGCATGTTGTATTCAAATTGCAGGTTGAAAGAAGGTGTTATAATGTCCAAAACTAAATTACAAATTAAACTTTACTTATGTTTATTTTAAAAATATTCTTAATTATTTCAGGTATATTTACGGGTATGATATCATTGGAAGTTTGGAATTTAATGAGGCAGACAACATGTTCTATGTTGCCGAGAAGTATATGATGCCCAGAATGAAGAATAAATTGGCTATGAGGTTGATAACACTTTTGACACCAGAAAACGTCTGCTCACTGTTGAATAACCCAGCGTGTCGAGATCAACTTGAGCTCAACTCTCACATCACTCAGGTAGTTAGTTTGACAAATAGTTGTGTTTTGCTGGTTTCATCCTGGTGTCACAGACCTCTTGTTTACATTTTTGTTTTTGTGCATGTTGTACCTGAAACCAACCAGTGTTAGCTAATCAGAGCTTAATCTCTTTGACAGATGTTGAATGATGATATCATCTCAGTATCGGACATGTGGCCCAAGAGGCCTGTTGTCACCAATTTGGTGCGACATGTCATACAACATTAGGCCTGGCAGATGCACGTTAGCACTCATCCCCCAAACAATATCGTTAGTCAGCTCAGCTGACTACAAATTTTTTAGTGGTTTATTGACCATAGTGTATTGTTTCATTCTGAGATATTCTTGAAACTTTAGTGGTCGTTGGTTCAGAAGATGGGTAGTCACAAACTTGATATTTCCCTGCTTGCTTTCCAGTATGGGTCAATTAAAACCCCTCCTATTCTTCTAGTTTTAAATTCCTATTTAAAACCCTACATGCAATCTGAATTGTATTTTGAAATGTGCAAATAAAAACAATAATTCCTCGACTCCTGATGACATTTTGTACTCAGTTGACTACAGCAGGAGTAGTCTCAAACAAAAGGCAGGCCTAAAATACGCCAGTGACATGCACGCCACATTCAAAACTTTATGCATAATATGAAGTAAGACGTAATGTATGAACAAGGTACCAAGCGTGACACCCACCTTAACCCTTTTACTGCCAACCGGTTTTTTATATGTTACTTGAAAAATGCCGGGTCTAAGGTAAGACTAATATGCGAAGACTGTCAGGCCTGATTTGAGGAAAATTCAGTATTTCACAAAAACTTGTGTATTTTTTTTATTTTCCATCAGAATTTGATAAATAAGGCCTTGTTTTGTTTCTAATAAACAACCAGTGTTCATAAAAACATATAATAATTATTATAGTAAAAAAAAAATTTTTGTACATAAATTTATATGGTCAAATTTTTTTTATATTTTATTTTTTAGGTTTGGCGTATAAAAACTATACCTAAAACAAACACATGCATAAATGTAATTATTTTAGTTTGTAGAGCACGCATAGGTTATTACATAAACAAACTTTCATGCCCTTACCTTGAAAATTGTAGAAGTTGTGATTTTTTTTTTTAAATGTTGTCAAATAAAAGTTTACCCGTTTAGGTGAAAACACTTTACTAAGAGTTTGTTCATGATCATATATACACAAGTGGCCCAACTGTTTTGTAATTCACAATAATGTACATTGCTATAGAGCTGAAATAATGGTAAAAAAAAAACTTTTGTAGCCTTCAAATAAATTTAAAAGAATATTTACAATATTTACAAATGAAAAAGTTCCGATCATTGACATTTGTGTTCACCCAAACATGTTGGATGAACCCCTTTTTTGCATCTCTTGCAAACAGTCCTGCTCCTGGTCCCTCCTGCACTTGTACTTTGTAGGCTACACACTGAACAATTTCTTAACATTCTTCCGGGTAGAGATTCTAGGCCGAATCCAGAAGCTTCTCCAGCGTCTCCGCCACCGCCCACCTCAGCAACATGTGGCTGGTTCTTCAGCATTAGCCAATCAGTAGAGAGCTCTTCAATTATGGAGTTGGTATAGTTAAATCTTGACAGTAATTTACCAGAACAATTTTCCTTGTAAATGATATACGAGTTGAGAATCATCCTGCCAAATATATTAAACACGACCTTCTTCCAGTACTTGACAGTTCTGCGCTCATCTAAATAACAGTAGAGCATTTGGTCTGAGCCATCAATCCCCCCCATATACATATTGTAAGTATCTATAATTTCAGGCCTCACTTTTGGGTTTTCTTCATGTCTTTTCCTTCTTCTTACTTCCATTGACTTTGCAGATGCTTTTGTAGAGAGTAAAAGCACTGGTTTCTTTTGAGAAGCTTTTTCTCGATATCCCAAAAAAAGCGTGTTCTCCTTCCGCAAATACGTCTTCTGGCCAACAGCAAATTTTTCTATCAACTGTGGAGGTATTCCTTTTCTATTTTTCCTAATTGTGCCAGTCATGTAGGTTTGGTTTTCGTAAAGGGGGTTCGCCAGAGGGATGCTCGTAAAAAAATTGTCAAGGAAGAGATGGTAGCCTTTTCGCAAATACTGACCTATCTCTAAAAGCTTGGTGACAACTTTGAATGCAAGGCCAGTTGATTTTCTCTTGTTCTTATTTCCTTTGTAGCAAAAAAAGCCAAACAATACCTGGAGACAGAGTCACACAACAACCACATTTTGATGCCCCAACGATGGTGGTGCTTGTTGGGCAGGTATTGCATATTTGTGAATGACTCTTAGTGCCAACCAGGCTTTCGTCAATTGATAACTCACGATGAGGGGTGTAATAAGTCCTAAAAATCCTGTTTGCATGATCCAATAGGGGGTTAAATTTAGCACAAGGGTCATAATTTGGATCACCTGGTTTAGCCAAAGTGCTATTGTCGACTATGTGGAAAAACTGCAATAGACACTCAAACCTGTTCCTACTAAACATTTTTCCAAACCAAGGTGTTTGAAGTGATGATTTTGTCGACCAATAGCTTTGAATAGTTGGCTTTCTTACAAGACCCATATTCAAAATTGTGGCAATGAAGGCCTTCATTTCCGGCAGGGTGACATTTTTCCAATCCCTGGCACGTGAATTTGGAGTCAAGCTATGTATATGTGCAGTGATGTAGTCCCTGGCATACTGGTTGGTCCTTACTCCTTAGCACAAAAGAATTCAGGAGATTTACAGTAAAAAATAAATTAAAGTACGATATTGGAGGTGCATCATGTGGGGGACAATGTTTTGGCCCAGGCAATTCGTCAAAAGGAAAAGTGTGGTCAAAACCAGGATCGTTACCTTCATCAAGGGGATCACATCCAAGATGTTCATCAGCGTCAGGGTCATTTAGATTAGCATAAAGTACATCTTCCATTTCCATTACATCACCTTCTGGAAATGTGAAGTTGTTTACAACATCGTCAATAACTTCGTCGACTGTACTGTGAACATCAGCAGTGGGAGTAGGCCTAGGCCTACGTCTAGGTTGGGGGATTTCATCTTCTGAGTCGTCAGAGGGGTCTGAATTTACCATGTAATCAGGGTCTTCGTCCGTATCGTCCTCAAATTCTGGACCTAATCCTTCACTTTCAGAATCTGAACTGGGTTCTGAGCTCGACTCAGAAATATTGTCTACAAAACTATCACTCACATCACCATCGTCAACATTCACACCGTCACCCAATAGGTTGTTTATTATTGTATTTTCACTCACCGGCGACCTAACTCGTCTATTACTCATTTTTACTAAAACTCAAACTAACCAAACACATGCATAAATGTAATTATTTTAGTTTGTAGAGCATGCATAAGTTATTACATAAACAAACTTTCATGCCCTTACCTTCATCACAACATTACTTTTATAGCACTAGTAAACACAAACAATAACAAACACCTTTCCATTCCCAAAACTCAACTAAACACAGATGACAAACGATCTAGACACAGTAGAGAAGTAATCAGCAATGCACAGACCAAGAGCAAACTCAAACTATGTAACTTTGTTGGTTATAGGCTCATACCATATATAATCGTCTGTAAACAGCTTCGTTATAGTCTGCAAATAATCTGAGTCGAATTTGGAGGGGTTTGGAAAGCATATAAGGCCAGTAAGTTAGAAAACATTGACGTGCTTTATAACGCACGTCGGCAATTTTCGCCCGATAGCCAACGAGCGTTATTGCGCATGTCGGCCATTTTAGCACAAACCCCGACGTGCGCATTTGTGCTCGTCGGCAGCAAAAGGGTTGAGAATGTAAGCTAAAATATTTTACCAAGTCTGCTCTTCAGTGAGCAACCCGTGAAATTCAAAAGTGACATTTTTCTGTTCCATTTCTTTCAGATCCTGAGATATGAGACAGACAAAGTGCTGGCAAGTCCACAGTTCTTGGAGGTCTGTGCAGAAGGATTCATCACAATGTTGGAGCAGGATGGACTCGCAGTTGCAGAGATTGAGTTGTGGAGAGCTGCTGTAAAGTGGGCCAAAAACAAAGGTTGGCCAAATACATGTTATTTTCATCTGTATTACGCCTGTTTAACTATTATTACGTCTAAGTAATTAGTACTACTACAGCTTACCAGAGTTAGGTGTAAAGTGACTCGGGCCATAGTTAGTAGCAATTCAAGTATCCATAAGTGCATAGAGTAAGTACTTGTTCTAATTACTGTGACTGTATACTATATGATACAACAATGCCTTATAGGTTTTCCTTGCCACTTTTGTATATCTTTTGTATATTTTATCCTACACATAGTTTTTTTTATTTAGAATTATGACTCAAAAGTAAAAAACACCAACATTCTAATGGTGTAATGAAGAAAGATCACAATGTGTCGTGTAAGGGAAGAAGGTCTTGATTTTGCCATAAGATATTGTAACTGTATCCTCATTGTCACCGTAAGAAATTTTCACTACGCTACTCTAAAATAACCTGTTTTGTTACATGTTTATCACCTGCGAAAATTCATCATTACATTGTTTACTACGACAAAAGAATGTTTACTATACAAAAGTAATGTTTACTATTTTTTTTTTTATTTTGCTGACGTAAACAAACAAAGATTTGTTATTGTTTTGTCAACTCTGTTTTAATTTTCAACAACTCAAACCGTACAACCAAAGTAAATATTAACTTGAAATTGAAGTTACAACCTGAAAAAGCTATGAGTTTTGTAATGTTCAAGAAAGTAATTAATTAGTCTTTGTAATAAAACAAAAAGTAACACTCAAAACACAAGTGAAAGTGGGACTCGATAAATCTCACACTTCAAACATGGTCTCAGAAACGTAATGACTCACTTTCTACTCTTGCTATGAAATATACTATTGTTATTCGATGCATTTGATTGGTTGGTGCTTTAGGATGGATGGTTGGTAGTTGTAATATTAATGGAATCATAATTATCAATGTTAACAAGGGTGTATAGTAGTTGTGAAAAACGGGAAAGTCAGGTAATAGTATTGAAATTCAGGATGGTCTTGAAAAGTCGGGATTTAGTCTTTATTTTGATATCAAAGTTGGGAATTTTCATGATTTTGCAGCAATCTCACTAGACGATGATCACGTTTCCGTGACACGCAAGACAAATACATGTTTCTGTGATCGCGGGAGACAATGATGATGTCTACACGGCCTCAGGAGATGATTAAGCCGCGATCTCGCTAGACGACGATCAGGTTTTTGTGACTGCTGGAAAAATGATCATGATTTTTGTGCGATCGTGCAAGACGATGATGTTTGAACAGCCGCGGAAGATGTTCACGATTTTGTCACGATCGTGGACAACGATGATGACATTTCTGTTACCACGGGAGTCAATGATGCCTACATGGCCGCGGGAAATGTTCATAATTTAGTCGTGATCGCGGACGACGACGATGATGTTTCTAAGACCGCGAGGGACAACGATGATGTCGACACGGCTGCGAGAAATGTTCATGATTTTGCTGCAATCGTGGATGACAACCAAGACGTTTCCGTGACCGCGGCATTCAATGATGATGTCTAACATGGCTGCGGAAGATGTTCATGAGTTTGCTGCGAATACGGAAGACAATAATGATGTCTACACGGCCGCAGGAAATGTTCATAATTTTGCCTTGATTGCAGACAACAACAAGGATGTTTCCGTGACCGCAGATGTCAATGATGGTGTTTTAAAGCCATGGGAAATGTTCATAATTTTGCCGTGATCGCGGACAATTACGAGTGAGACCTCGGGAGACTACGATGTCATTTCCATGACCGCGAGAGACGGCGATGATGTCTACACGTTTGCGGGAAATGTTCATGATCCAAAAAACCCAAATTGGCTAATTGGCTAGATTTTTTCATTGCTGCATTTTTCCTTTACTTGAAAAACGCCCCATTATCTTAATAATAATTTATCACATAGGCCCTAAAGACAGTGGTTGGTGTAGTTAAACTATAAAAATTGGTATCGGTATCAGGAATCGAGAATCGATATATTTTGCTATCAATACAACACTAATTGTTGAAAAAACTAGTCTTGAATAATCTGGAATTGGTCTTGAAAAGTCTGGAATCAGTCAACATAAATGTAGAAATGTGGCATGTTCCCTCTTCTAAAGTGCTTATTTTGTGCAGCATTGCATAACGGGTCTGTAATAGAGTTTACTATAATAATAGAATATATAATTTGGGCTTGAGATTTGCAACATATTAGTATAGAACCTACTTGCATATTTTTATTGTTCAACTTTTGTACCAGTAAATAACCGAAAAGTTTTCTTTGAGGGGATAGCAAGCTTACCTGAATAGAAAAGAGTAATTACTGGCACAAACAAAAACAATAAAATTACACTATACACTGTCAACAGTCACAGTCCCAGGAGTGGATTGGGGATGGACCCCCTCTCAAATATCAGGTGTACACCCCTCTGCTAGTATAATGTAGGAAAACCTTTTAGTAGGCTTAACCTCCAAAATTAAATATGCCACGGCCCAAATGATTGTGAAATATTCTTATACTTTGTAAATTTGTTGTTTCTATTTTGTCAAGATTGACTCTTTTCGATTCTGGTACGCCTGCCATCCTAATTAATATCCTTATTGTTTTGTATCATCACTAACAACAAATAACTGTTACAGTTGACAGTGAGGATGGGCAGGTGTTGAGACAACAGCTTTCTGGAATCTCAGGACATTTGAGGATTTGCACTTTGAATAATGAAGAGTTGTGGAAGGAAGTGGCTCCTACAAAAATACTGAACAATAACGAACTGGTACTTGTGACTCAATCTATTGTAAATAAGGAAAAGATGGATGAAGCTATCTTGTTCAGCAATGAGTTGGAACCAAGGAAAAGATTGCATAAGGATATAAGACTAAGCAAACAATTGAACTCTCGTGTACAGGAACTCAAACTGACCAACCATTCAGGAGAATTGTCTTCTTATAAAATTAACTTTAACATTCTCACCAAAAAGTCTGCTGTAGAGTTGTTGCCATTGGTTTGTATGGGACAAAAACGAGAGAGAATGTATCCTCCAGGCTGGACATATACTGTCGAAGGGACAGTTACAGTAAAAAAGTATGCAGAGCCATACCGTACATCTGCTCCTCTTACTGAGTTCACTTTCCACAAGGAAGTAGAATATGGGCAAAAATTTAAGGTTCCAATCACTGTTCGTGGGTGCAATGTGGTTTTATTACCATATAGTAAGTATCGAATTACTTTATGCTTTGAACAAGCTGTTGTACTCTTAAAGTATGGGGATGGTCCAATCCATGAGAATGCACATTTTCTACTTGAATGCTTGGATCCTACAAAGTATTTCTGTTCTCAAAGCCTCTACTATAAGCTGAAAGATGATTAAGGATCGGCAATGTTCTCAGTGATGTACTTAGCTATTTGTAGTCACTTTCATGTATCAAACATTTCAATCACCTTTATTATTTTATGATAATGTACAATGCTATAATTAAATGCTTTGATTTATCACAGTTCTATTTGTTTCCTTTCTTCAATCAACAAAAGCTAGGACCTAATGTTTATAGTTGTAGACATCCTCGGCCCCCTTTAACTCCAGGCAGCGGCCTGGTAGAATTGGTGCCATGCTAAGCGGCCAAGTTTTTAAATTGTAATATGTTTTTAGTTTTATTCATTTTATAAATTATGATGCAATACATCTGACTAGGTCTGGTAGAATGCCAGTAAATATACATTCATCATTCACTTATTTGTGTTAAAATGCGCACCTAGGTGGCGTCCCCATCTGGACTGGTAATGGTACTAACTTTCTATCAGTATCATTGTGTACACTTTATTAACATACACTGTCTAATAACCAATGCCCTAATGTTCTAGGTCTAGGCCACCTGTAACTCCAGGCCGCGGCCTTCGAAGTGGCAACATCGCAAGTAGTGTTGTAACAGCTGTTTTGTCTGGAGGCAGCTAATGATATTTGTGTATGTTTTAATAATAGAAAGCTTGGTTACTGTTCTATACAAATATTGACTCCGCTTTAAATGTACAAAAATAGAGTTTCAATTACTCAGTAAAATACTATTTTGGTTTTCAATTCTATATGTTTTATTTTCAATCTTATATTATAAATTTAAATGAATAATACGCGAATTAATGAGCTGTCACCTGTCTGCCATGTTATCTTAATGGACGTCTGGCACTAGACAACATTACTTGCAACGTTGCCAATTCTATGAATTTTGCCAGGCCACGGCCTGGAGTAAAAGGTAGCCCCCAGAGGGGAGGTAACTGCCCGGTGTTGGAACCGGCACTTCAGGTAAGGCCACAGCTATGGACGACTGGGAACGCCAGCCCCTAAAGGGGAGCCCCCGGTGACATTCCTCCATCCAGGATGGTGGGATGTTCAGCTCTCAGAGTGTGATTCTCTCACCTGTCTGTGGCTGTGGTTCTATGGGCTTGCCCTGCCTGCTGTGTACGACTTGCATTTTGTGAGGCATATCCTCGGCTCTGGAAGTAGCCTCTTCGTGGGAGGCGAAAGACGGGCAAAGTGAAGCCCCTAAGGGGAGGTAACTTCTCGGTATTGGAATCGGCATTTCAAGTAGGCAATGGTTATAGACGACTGGGAAGGCCAGCCCCTTAGGGGGAGCGCCCAGTGACATTCCTCCATCCAAGATGGTGGGGTGTTGGAAAATCCTTGACTTTGGAAGTAGCCTTTTCCTGGAAGGTGAAAACGGGTGAGTACCCGTGAGCTCACGGGGACACTCTAGGGAACGGAACTTTCCGCAGTGTGAGGGTAACGGTTTGTGGCCACACTCCATCAGCCCATCCCTGTCTCTGATCCCGGAGGGTATGTGGAGTTTGGGGGGTTCTCCCTGGAACCTCAATTGAGCTAAGGGTGTCGCCACCTTTGGTGGATAGGTTCATCCGGGTGGGTCCCCCTTCTATACCTGCCTCCTTTTGGGAAAACCTGATGGCCTGGCACTGGCAGTGATGTTGGGTTAGATAGGCAAATGAAGTAGATCGGGTGCTGGGTTTAAGCCCGCTGGGGGTTTCTGGGGATCTATCGCCCTGGTAATCTCTGGTTTCCAGCGATGGGTAGGCCTCGATCGGGTATTGGTGTAAATAGGGGGTTTGGGTTCGCTGACGGTCCCCTTCCTCCTGGCTTTGATGGCAGGTTTCGGCCTGTCAGGGAATAGATAGGTCCCGAGTGTTGCTTGCACTGTGTTGCGTTCAGGGAATTCCATTATGGTCCTTCACGGTTCTGGCCTTGGTTGAACCCATTTAGAGTGTACATGCGACCAAGTAACCGGTATCCCTGGTTAGGATTGAGGGGTAACCCTCTTTCCGAAGGGTTGCTTCGGTAGCCGAGCTTGATGGCCTTAAGCTCCAGCCGACACTATGGGGCCCGGGTTATGTTAAATTATAGGTACCGGGTAGTCGTCGGGATGCTTTTGGCTCCTTTGACAAATGACAAATGAGAATGAGTAAAAGGTAGCCATAGTGATGTGCGATACGTATCGTATCGGAATATCGCGATACGCGAGGGACGATACGATATTTGAAAAACGATACGTATCGTATCGCCTAAAACGATATTTGTATTTATATCGGCACATAGAGCGATACGATTCAAAACGATATTTGTATTTATATCGGCACATAGAGCGATACGATTCATGTCAAAACGATATTTTTAAGCTTTTTTTGTGCAGGCCGAGCAAACAGCAAAATCTGTACTCTGTGGATGTGTAGTTTGAAATAGGAGTTTTTGACGTCTGTATTTTTGGATTTTACTTGATAATGTACCAGTCCAGTCCCATCCACTGTCCCATCCCAGTCCAGTCCATTTCCACTAGCGTGCTATCTAGCACTAGCAGTTCAGAGTGTGGGAACTGTCTGTGGCAATTACATTAATGTATCTAATCCTAAAATGATATGGGAAGGATAGGGAATCAGGTCCAAGACGTAAGGGAGTTGTGAAGGAAGTAGTATAGGCGAGCAGTGTGGAGTGTGGAAATGGATTAATGTATCTGCAATACTAAGACTGTTTTCAGAGTAAACTAATGATTTTCCCCGAGCAAAGCTTGGTTCCCAGGTACTTGTATAAATTTGCCGTTTCTAGGTTAGGTAGGGGAGGGGGGAAACGATACGATACATATCGTTTTTCGATATTTTTTGACGATACGATTCGCGTATCGCGATACAGACGCCCGATTCAATACGGCGATACGATATTTTTTTCCGATACGCGTCCGTATCGCCCATCACTAAGCCATGCCTGTCTAGGGTCACTGACAAGGCACCACCGCGTCAAACCACCACCTTGGTGTTTTAGTCAGAGGCGTCAACCCGCCAACACACCTTTATCGGAGGTGGCGGGTTGTCGTGCCCACTCACGTCAACGTGCCACCACGACAGCCCACCACCACCACCAGTTTCTATCATAGGTGGCGCCATGGCGGGTTGTCTTGAAGCTTGTTCGCTGCCGTCAACCCGCCAACTCGCACGTAGGTGACAACCACCTCTTTTACGAGGTGGCGGGTTGTCTTGTACGCTCAATATTCGGTGCCATCAACAAGCCACCCCACCTCGCACGTAGGCGTCAACCAGCCACCACGTCAACCCGTCACCACACCAAAGAGGTGGCTGGTAGACGTGTACGAACACGTCTATCCACCACACCACGACAACCCGCCACCACACATTTATCCAAGGTGGCGTGTTGTCGTGCATGCCCACGTCAAACTTCTTGTTTTTGGAGGCGGGTTGACGAGGTGGCTGGTTGACGCGGTGGTGCCTTGACGCATTCCCCTGCTCTATTATATTTTGTCTATGATTATACCATGGTGGAAGGAAAATGCTATTATACAATTAATTCAAGCACAGACAAAACGTGTCTCAGGCCACGGCCTGGTAGAATTGGCAATGGCCAGACGTCCCAAAAGATAACATTGCAGACACGAGACACCCGCTCATTAATTCGCGTATTATTTATTAAAATTAAAAGGTATGAATATGAATGTATTAAAAGATTGAAAATAAAACGTATATAGAATTGAAAACCAAAACAATATAAATTGAAAACCTATTTCTGTACATTTAAGTCATAACCCCAGTAACCAAGCTTTCCAAAGAAAACAGCACAGCCATGGCCACCTTTAACTATAGGCCGCAACGTTCAGTGACAGACGTCCCATAAGATAACAGGGCAGACATCTTACATCTTACATCGGCGCTCCTCTTCGCAGTCGTGGAGACCGGAGAGTTGTCAATTTCTTGGAGGGGGTTTGTTGTATTTATGTGTGTGAGTGTGTGTGTTTTATTTATTTTAGAGGTGTGTTACATTGTTGTGGTCTTTGTAGAATTCCTTTAAGTTGTAGTATGGCCTGTTCAGGAGGTATTTTTTAAGGCTAGTGATGAATTTTTTTGTTTCGTTTATCGATTTTATGTTTTGAGGAAGAGAGTTATAGGGAGTTGTTCCCATGTATGTAGGGGTTTTACTTGTTCTGTGTAGTCTGTGTTGGCCTTGGTTGAGATTTGTCCCTGACCTAATATTGTATTGATGGCATTCTTGTCTGGTTTGTGGAGGATCTGATTTGATGGCGATGATTGTGTCAAGGATGTATTGGGAGGTTAGAGTAAGGATCTTATATTGGATAAATAGTGGCTTGCAGTGTTCTTCATTTTCGACCCTTGCGATGATTCGGACAGCTTTTTTTTGGAGTGTGATGATTTTTTGTAGGTGGGTTCAGACAGGTGACATCAGCTCATTAATTCGCACTTTATTGATTTAAATTTAAATTTGTGAACATAAATTTATTAAAATATTGAAAATAAAACATACAGAATGGAAAACCGAAACAATATGAATTAAAATCTATATCTGTACATTTTTAAGCGGAGTCAATATTGTCATAGTGCAGTAACCAATCTTTCGTAAATACACAAATACCATTAGCTGTTTGGCTGTTTCTAAACAAAAACAGCTGTTACAACACCACTTGCGACGTTGCCAGTTCGAAGGCCGCGGCCTGGAGATAAAGTCAGCCGTGGCAGAGCTGTAACAACACTACTTGTGACGTTGCCACTTCGATGGCCGTGGCCTAGAGTTAAAGGTGGCCGTGCTAGAGAGCGTTATTTATTCTATTATCAGCAATACACAAACAAAACTGCATGTTATAAAGCTCTTGTCTCCCTAATGGGAAAGAAACAAACAATGAAACAATAGGAAAGAATGAGCAAGAGAAAGTAAAATAAAAATATCATATCATATTTGTTATTTTTGTTGGTTGGAGTGAGGATTAAGAGTAAGGTTTAAGGTTAGAATTTTATAAATTAAGTCAAGTCACTTCAACTTCATTGTTCATTATTAGGTCTAATAAGTTATATTATTATAATACATGTGCACTGCTTACAGTCATTTAGCTGTGGTATAACTTAGTGTCCACTTTAATAAACTAAATATTGCTCGGTGTTAGGTTTCTAAGAAGATCCATAGTAAAATTTTCATATTGCGGTTGCGGATACGAAATAATGGCTTCTGCAATGGACGTAGACGATGATGAGATTGAATTGCCCACATCAAGTAGTAGTAAAGGCGAGAAGAAAAGATTTGAAGTTAAGAAGGTAAGTGATCGAAATGTTTTTGTTTGGTGACTTAGGTCTTTGAATCAAGAATAAAAATAGCCTATATTACTGTGTATTGACACGGCATACCTAGGCCTAGGATATTCAAGCTGCTAAGATCAACCAAGATAACTTATGCCTAGAATTTTCTCTAAGGTTTAAGTGTGGATAAGGGGTACAGTTTCTTAACTGGGCTAGGCCTATGCTAATATCGATTGAAACTGTCGAATTGAAAATATTGATTAATAATCAATATTTTTAAATATAGGCCTATTTATTATCAACTATCATAACCTAAACCTAACCAACCAAACTTGCTGATGGTGAAAAAATCGCATGAAGGTTTACTAATCGAATCGATAGTTTCAATCGATATTAGCATAGCACAGTTATTAAGAAACTGTAACCAATATATATAGGCCTATGTTTAAATAACAAGGGATTCAATTACAGTCAATATAAATACAAGGGTAAAAATTGAAATTGAGCGACGAGCAAACAAATAGGCCTACTAAAGTTACAGACCATGGCTAGAGATTTAAAATTTGACAGTAATAAATTGCATCTTACCACACTTTAAATTATAACATCTTACTTATCTAGGGTAGAGTTGAAGAAACCCTCTAACTTGATTTTTAATATTTTGAGGATTCAATAAAATATGTTCCATTTGACGGTGTTACGTATGTGTAACTCCCTTTTATCACTAACTGATAACAAACAAAAAATTATTAATGCAATTTTATAAAACCTTATATGGTTCTAAACACAAATTATAAAGTACAGGGTGGGGCAGAGTGGACTCCCTGATTTGATGGGTTAACTGTATAAAAACCATACAAGATTATTTACAAAAGCTTTTTATTTCTGAAATTTAAATACAATGCCATTTATTTTTCATTAAGGTTTAAAAATGATATCGTCCAGGTGAAGACCTTGACGAGCGATGCACATATACCGTTCAATGAAGTTTTCAAAAACTCTACGCAGCATATCTGGCATTATTCCAGTGATAACATCAACAATTGCTTCCTTAAGGGCTTCCAAGGTCCTTGGTCAAACTTTGTAAACCTCAGTTGCAGATTCGGTCGCCCGTACACTTGTAATCCATTTCCTTAAGGTTTTAGCATCGGGAACACTATCATGACAATTCAAACCAAACCGTTACGAAATGCACGCTGGGTCGCCACCACAGTTTCTTATTTTTAAAGAACGTTTCGACTACAAAACTACGATGCTCGCCAGTTTTTCGGTATGGTGACTACTAACAATGGCATCTTTCCCCCCACCACATGAAACCTCTCCCACTCCACTAAGTCGCGCGCACGCTCTTCAGCGACTGATTAAAACTAGGGAGTCCACTCTGCCCCACCCTGTATTGACAAACATTTCAACAAAAAATATTCTGTGCAGGTTGGGGTCACCTGACACCTGTATTTTCCGTGCTGGAAAGAGTTAATTTAAGAGTACAAACATTCTAGGAACCTTAGTTTACCTCTAGGTCAATAATCTAAACAGTTTAAAACTGTTCTGATGTTTAATGATAGATAAAATAAGGCCTTAAGGTCCCATAAATTCGGCACCCAAGCCTTAACCCTCCGAGCGTCACTCGTCGAAAAATCGATGCGCGACACACTTTGATTTAAGTGATTTGGAAGGGCTGGTTGATGATCCTGAAGAAGTAGGTAGTGATATTGATGTAAATTATCAGCCAGATTCCTAGCTATGGTTAGGCTAATGCATTCTTAGCTAAACGCTATGTACTGAAATCTGTTTTTTGCCCATAACTTATTTATTTGCAAATCTACTTCCTTATATTATTATATATTTGTACTCCTCATAAAATTTAGAACAAAGTGGCTATTTTCAAATATTTATAGGCCTATAATTTATACAATTTCATTGAGCGCGAACTTTATTTTTTTTTTTTGAAAACTTTCCAAAATATTTTTTACCTAAAAAAATTGTTTGAATCAAATGTTCCTTATGTTTTATGTATAATATTGAAGCCCATGATTTTCCAAACAAAATGGTATATAGAACAGTAGAATTAACATTGTTTTAAGCTTCTCAGATCCGTTTTAATAAAACCTTGCAAATGCGCCAAAAATAGGCGGACATTAAGGCCTAAACTATGGACACTCGGAGGGTTAACGCTTGGCGAACAAACAGGCGGTAATTATTCCGTATAGGTGCCTCCAAACGAATTTTTAATTTTTATATCTTACTTTATAGTTTTTTTACCTCCTGAATCCAAATATACCATTATTTTTCACCCTGATGAATATTTCTCAAGATATCGCCGTAATAATATACAACATTACAATAAACAAGGTAGGATGGATGACATTTACAAGTGGAATTAACTATGGGTTAAGTAAACCAACAGCTGATTGTTTTCAATCATAGTCACGCAAATGGAAGTGACAACTTCAATTAGCTAACTCTGATTCTGCAATATGAAAATCACCTGATTAAGTTACACTTTTCACTTTCTAAGACCAATAAGTTAATAATGTATTATTGTTACCAGTATTTTATCCTTATTAATGATTTTATTGATTTATATTTCGCCGTTTAGAAATTACATAATAAAATGGTGCTATTCTAACATAACCTAACCTAACCAAACCTCTAGAATGTGTAAGCAAACTCCTTTTGATGTCAGAAAAGGCATGTCAGGGTGATAGGTCGTGCTTTATGTGAATTGGTGACTGCATTAAGTCCTTTGAAGGTAGGTTAGATTTAAGTTAAAGTTTAGGTTAGGGTATAATGTATCGAGTTGTTAGTTTATGTCACCAGCAGACTGTATTTGTAAAATTAAAATCCTGAGAAAAACACTTCAAATTACTTCAAAACTACTACAAAAACAGTCTGCAGGTGACATAAACTAACAACTCGATACATTATAACCTAAACTTTACCTTCCTAATCTAACCTAACTTCAAAACACTTAGGTAATGCAGTCACCAATTCACATACAGCACGACCTACCAACCTGACATGCCTAATTAACAACTACATGTAATTAGTCCACCAGTCCATCTATCTCCATAATGTGACGAAATTCCTACTAGGTGGCGTTCGCAGATGCATCCACAAAATTGAGCGGAGTCATCAAGGGTTTATATTATATTGTTTTGGTCATACTGTTGTTTTTGTCATGGTTTCAGTAATACCAGTCGTTTTTAATGCATGCGTTGCGAGTCTAAAGTAGCATTTTTACTCTTTAGGAAGTAAAAAGTTTTTATCCTCTATGGAGTAAAAATAGTTTTTATCCTCTATGGAGTAATAATCAGCTGTTGTCAACTCAGTTGTAAATTTCTATTATAAACGATTGCATGTATCGAAATATGTATAAATTCGTGCTTCGAAATTATTTTAACCTACAGTCTACAGTCTCTTCCCATAGCGTTTTAGCATTGCAGATACATTAATCAATTCCCACACTCAACACGCTCACCTTTACTACTTCCTTCACCACCCCCTACGTCGTGGACCTATTTCCCTCTCTTCCCATAGCATTTTAGGATTGCAGATACATTAATGTAATTGCCAAAGGCAGTTTCCACACTCTGCACTGCAAGCCTTCCTTCACCATTTCCTACGTCATAGACTTGTTTCCTTCCCTTCTCATAGCATTTTTGGATTAAAGATACATCAATCTAACTGCCACAGACGGTTTTCACACTACGATCATACTTTACTACTTTCTAAGCCTTTTCCTACATCGTGAACCTGTGTTCATCACTTTCCATAGCAATTTAGTATTTTAGATACGTTAATCTAATTGCCACAAACACTCCCTACACTCCGCACTGCTAGCCTTTACTACTTCTTTCACCATATTCTATGTCGTGGGGATGCTTCCATCCATTCTCATAGCATTTCAGCATTGCAGATACATTAATCTAACTGCTACAAACGGTTTCCAGTTCCCACACTCCACACTGCTTACCTTACTAATTCCTTCACCACTTCATACGTCTCGTACCTTTTCTCTCCCTTCCCATAGCATTTTAGGATTGCGGATCCCCTAATCTAATCATCATAAACAGTTCCCACACTCCAGACTGCTCGCATTTACTACTTCCTTCACCACTTCCTACGTCACGGACCTGTTTCCCTCTCTTCCCATAGCATTTTAGGATTGCAGATACCTTGATCTAATCGTCTTAAACAGTTCCCACACTCCGGACAGCTCGCCTTGACTACTTCCTTTATCACTCCCTACTTCGCGGACCCGTTTTACTCCCTTCCCATAGTATTTTATGATTGCAGATACCAATTTAATCGTCATAAACAGTTCACACACTCCGGACTGCTCGCCTTTACTATTTCCTTCGCCACTTCCTACGTCGCGGAACTGTTTCCATCCCTTCCCATAGCATTATAGGATTTCAAATACCTTAATCTAATGGTCATAAACAGTTCCCACACTCCGGACAGCTCGCATTTACTACTTCCTTCACCACTTCCTACGTAACGGAACTGTTTACCTCCCTTCCCATAGCATTTTATGATCGCAAATACCTTAATCTAATCGTCATAAAAAGTTCCCAAACTCCGGACTGCACGCCTTTACTACTTCCTTCACCACTTCCTACGTCACGGACCTGTTTACCTCCCTTCCCATTACATTTTATGATTGCAGATACCTTAATCTAATCGTCATAAACAGTTCCCACACTCCAGACTGCTCGCCTTTACTACTTCCCTCGCCACTTCCTACGCCACAGACCTGTTTCCCTTCCTTTCAATAGCATTTTATGATCGTAGATACCTGAATCTAATCGTCATAAAGAGTTCCCACACTCTGGACTGCTCGCCTTTACTACTTCCTTCGCCACTTCCTACGTCGCGGACCCGATATCCTGCCTTCCCGTAGCATTTTATGATTGCAGATATCTTAATCTAATCGTCATAAACAGTTCCCACACTCCGGACTGCTCGCCTTTACTACTTCCTTCACCACTTCCTACGTGACGGACCTGTTTCCCTCCCTTCTCATAGCATCATAGGATTGCAAATACCTTAATATAATGGTCATAAGCAGTTCCCACACTCCGGACAGCTTGCCTTGATTACTTCCTTCATCACTTCCTACGTCGCGGACCCGTTTTCCTTCCTTTCCTTATAATTTTTGGAATGCAGATACCTAAATCTAATCGTCATAAACAGTTTGCACACTCCAGACTGCTCACCTTTAGTACTTCCTTCACCACTTGCTACGTCGCGGACCCGTTTTCCTCCCTTCCCTTATAATTTTTGGAATGCAGATACCTAAATCTAATCGTCATAAACAGTTTCCACACTCCAGACCGTTCACCTTTAGTACTTCCTTTAACACTTCCTACGTCACCGACCTCAAGCTAGTGGCGTCATTTGATTATATTTATGATTCATACCGTTTCTGTTCTAATATCTGTGGAATAATGCCATCAGCTATTTCTTTATCTACTGCATTCAAAAGTCAACAGCTATGTCTTTGTATATGTGTTGTTGTATATGTCTTTGTTTATGTGTCAAATACTGCTTCCATAAGGATTACATTGAAACTTTAAGACCCAGTGGGGCGGATTCCTGAGAGTTATTTTTAACGCCATATAGATGTTGGCACTCACCGATATGGTCTTTATCACCACCCAAAATTTGAAAACGATTGATTCAGCCGTTTAGGAGGAGTTTGCGTATTACGAAATGCATAAGAGTCGACGTATAAGAGCTTCGCTCGCTTCGCTCGCTCCGCTCAATTAACTTATAACTTAGAGAACATTAAGTTATTTGACTCCAGAGTCACTTGAAATTTTATCCATCCTATCTTGTTTATTGTAATGTTAAGTATGTTTTTACGGCGATATCTTGAAAAATATTCATCAGCGGTGAAAAATAATGGTATATTTGGATTCAAGAGGTAAAAAACTATAAAGTAAGATATAAAAATTAAAAATTCGTTTGGAGGCACCTATACGGAATAAATACCAAATAGGCCTTAATTCTCTTTTCTCTGTCGAGCATTTTCAAAATCGTTCTCCCCCACTATTAAGTTGGGGAGCGAGCTGGCGTAGTGGTTAGAGCGCGGGACTTCAGTCCCTGAGGTCCCGGGTTCGATCCCCGCCAATTCACCAATGGATTTTATCTTAATGATAATGCCGCAACCCCTAGGTCTAGTCTGAAGTAATGTGGAAAACACTCCCAGACTCGTGCCAAGCAAAAAAAAAAAAACTATTAAGTTATAATTGCTCTGTGACCTAGATTTTATTATTCTTTCAGTGGAATGCAGTTGCTCTCTGGGCTTGGGGTAAGTAAATAATTTGTTACTTTTTATTCAATATTTAGGCATAGGTAAGTTAGCCTATCTGTTTTGTAAGGCAGTAACACTCACTTTTTCATTAAATATTTTGAGATAAATATGATAGAAATATGAGGATACTGAGATGCTTTGAACAGCTTCATTGTTTTATCAAAGACCTTTTTAAATTATTAAGCTTAGATAAGCCTAATGTTTTGTAGTCAGAATCGTAAAAATTCCTATTATCAATATTAGCTGGGTCCAGTCTTAAACCAGAGGACTGTTGCAGTGGACTCACACTAGAACCACCCATCGACGTATAAAACTAACTGGATCGGCTGCTAGGCTCCGCGACCCGAGCCAACGACCGTGGTTGCGTTTTAGATTTTGCAGGCGTCATGTGGGATTAAGCGTCTCGCTGCGCCACATCTTAGCATTGTCGCGACCAGGACGATGCACTTTATCTATGCCCTTTACTCTCTACTAAAACGTTGTAAGGCATTTTAATAATAATCAATTTTCATGAACTTTTGTACAAGTAATATAAGTGTAAAAATAACGCTGGGAGTAACCGAGTTTGGGTACCACAATTAATAAATAACCTTGGTGGTTATTGTTTCGTGTACTGTAATATTTCTGAATTGTACAATTCTATGTAATATTGAAACAATAAAGATTTTTCTAATAATTTAATTAAAAAAAATTAACTGACGGCGGATATTTCACACTGAGGTTTCTGATCAAATATAATTTTAATTTCGATTTTATTTTTTTTAATGATGGAATAAAAGTAATAAAATAGTTTACAATTAAGAAACCTTTATGGCTTGGTTCTTTCTTCACTTACTACTCTAACGAAACCAATTATGTTTCAATGTTACAATACAAAATAGTCTATGTTAAAAAATGGGTTTTATCAGTTTCTCGTAAAATACAAAATATTCTGGGGTAAGGTATTAGTAAGAACAAGGTTAGATTGTATAAGAAACATTTTATTTAGGAAACTTTGTAAAACAAAGAAACATATTTAGCCTAAAAATTGCTAAAAAGAATAAGCTTATTTAACTTCTGCTGCATACCAAGCTTTGACAGAGAAGCTTTTGCTGTTTTACGCTTAGAAATGCTGTGGCATATAATTTTGTTAAACATAATACCAATTAGTTTGATTAATTTCATGTCATGGCTTTCCTCGCCAAATTCATTATTACCTTTATGATTAAGAAAAACGTTACCAGCAAAGGTTCTACATGCTAATAAAATAGTTTTTGAAGCATCAAATTTTTGCCAATCCTTGGAATATGCAACAATTTGATTGTACATGAACTTAACAATTTTCGGTACATCTGGCGAAGCCCTGATTAATTTTCCTTTTGATAGAAAATCAGTAAAATTAGTGCAAGGGCTTGGATTTGAATCGCCAGTTACCAAAAGATTACTGCATTCTTCACATTTCAGTTTAGGGTCCAACTTTCGAATAACATAACCACAAATATAATATAGTACATTGTCTTTAAAGTAAGACGACTCTTCTATGCCTTCTAACATGTATGACATACATTATATCCGGGTATTATAATCCGGGCATGCAGTTAAAACTGCCTACCCATTTCCTCAATGTTGACGGATTAGGTAATGAAAATTTATTATTCCTCAAAAAGGAATAAGCTTTTGGGGAGTAGAAATATAAAGTTAATGCGAACTCCTTCATTTTTTCAGAATATTTCTTTTTACATTTAGCTTTATTCTTATTTTTCAAAGAGTGTACAATTAATTCTAACGGGAAGCCAGAAAAATTATCATCTAACACTTCTAATAGCTTTACAGGGGCATTGACCTTTTCTTTCAGTAGTGTAATCACATCTTTCATTGTTTTAATTTTTCACTCCCTCCTTTTCAGTCGTTGTTGGAGTACCTTAATCTTGCGCCGAAGTCGCAATTTAGTTCGTGTAGGTGGGATCTAAAAAGAATAAAACGACTTTGCCGTATAAAATAGTTATTTAATACGGTAAAATAGTTAAATAAGTGGAGGAGTGGGGGAAGACCCCTGAGTGATTGAACAGGTGCAAGTGTGCTCTTCAATTTTTTCCATAAAAAAGTGGTTTTTTATAGTTTGTTTGAGATAAGTTTTATACCAAAGTGTTAAGTTTATTTCTGGGTATAAAAGTATGTGAGTAGAAGTTACTATTTTATAATATTTAAAGAGTAAATTGAAGATTTAACAACACTTTTTCCTGGAATTGCAAGATTATTTCTCAGAACACAGACAGCCGGTCCAGCGATAAGGAGTCCTGACCCTTGCACCCAAGATAACCAGGCTCACTTGAGTCATAGTAGCTATCCATGCAATCTGTCAACTACTGTTATCAGCTTGTTTACAACCTTTGTTTTGACCAGGTGTCACTTATTTTATTTTGTTTTTCTTAGTATTTCATATTAGTATTTTATTTTTTCTTCTAATAGAAGACTCACTAGCCAGTTCATTTGTTTCTTAAAGCACTAATGGATTTTCAAATAATGGATTTTCAAATAGAACAAACAAAGAGTGGTAAACCCAATATTATTCACAATAATCACAAATTTAGACAAAATTATGTGGCTAAGAGTGGCGAAATCACATGGAGATGTCTGGGAAGAAATTGTAATGCTACGATAAAGACTGACGCAAATAAATCCTTTATTACTGTCACCAATAACAAGCATTCTGGCCCCCACCCGGTCACTATGAGGTCATTATTATCTCCTAAAGCCTCAATTCAGGAGTCACCTGTCCAAATACTAAGTGAAAATTGTTCCTTACAGTCATCTACACCTCAGTTAGGTAATCTGTCTCCTCTGAACACACCTATTCCACCAGACTATTCTTCCACTTCATCCATTGATTCGCAAGAATTAACACCATCATTATTATCAGAGCTGGAAGAAAAAAATAGAAAGCTAAAGGAGCATAATGTAACTCTTGGAAAACAGCTCCAGTGTGTGCTTGACCACTCAATTGAATCCGACACAAGACTAATGGAATTTACAAAGGAGATCTTCCCTATTCCTGATTTACATGAAACTGTTAAGCCTCAAATGAGAGATTCTTCTGTACAATGTGAACCTGTGACACCCTCACCAATAGTCTCAACTGCTTACTGTACGAAAGATTATGTCCATGCTGAGACTCAATGCACTATACCCCAATTAACGTTGAGTAATAAAACCACCTCAACCACGCAAACTGATTTTAGTATAATTCATTCAACCCTAAGCCATGGCTGGTTAGGAGATGAAGCCATAGAAATGTATTTTAGTACTCTAACGGATAAAAAAATTGCTAGCTCTAATACCTGTTTAATTAGCCCCTCCATTTGTCAAGCGATTAAGTGCCTTGAAAACTATGACTCCTATACAAACCCGCTATTGTTACAGGAAAAATCTTATATATTTGCACCAGTGAACAATGCAGACCCAGTGTTAAGTGTTGCTGGTACACACTGGAGTCTTCTGTTCTATACAAAGAAAAACAACATATTTTATTATTTTGACTCATTGGGAGAAACAAGTTTACAGCATGCTAAGGAATTGTATCAAAGACTCGCTAAGTGCACTGGTTCTCAGAAAACTCCAGATTTTAAAGTTGTCAAGAGCCCTCAGCAACCAAATGGTGATGATTGTGGGGTGTATGTATTACTAGGAGTACGCTCCGAAGTCGCGTATGAGAATGAACGAAGACAATTCCATGTACATAATAATCTGTCATTGGCCCCTCACCGCTCACCCTGCCCCATGCGGCGCGGCGCGCCGCAAGTTTGTGCGGTGGCAGTGGCCAGACTAACTGCGATTTTTTTTTTTACTACGGGCGTAATGCTCTTTTTTATAAATAATTCTAATGCCGCATATATCTATCCAAAAATCAAATATGAATAGCATGAGCTCTACTTTTCTCTATCATAAATTATAACGTCAGTGGTGTTTGTTATGTTTCTGACTGGGGATGTTAATCTAAACCTTGGACCTGTTAATTCACAAGTAACTGGGGTCAGTTTGACACTAAGAATTGTCCATCCTAGGGCCCGTGCCCCTGGGCATTTGCCCCCTTAATTAGCCCCCCCCCCTCACGGTGGTCCTGTAATCATGTGAAAGAGTGATTAAAAATCATGGGCTGAGTATCACTTCTTTAAATTAATAATAAATTATGAACATATTTTTTTAACCTAACGTACTCTATGATGCACAAATAAATTGTGTGTGATACATGGCCAAATAAGTTGAATGTATTACTGTACAGTACCAAAAACATTAATTGCTCTACTCTGCTTAATAACGGAGTTGTTACTAAGCTACAACTACTTACTGTAGCAAGCGAACTATGAAGGGTTCTTCAGGTTTTGTATTACAAATTACAACAAAACTTTCAGACAATAACACATACGGATCCGTCCAGCCCACGCCATCTGTATTTTGTTGTTGGTTCATATAATTTATTCTTTGTTAAATTTTCATATTTATTCACAAAATGTATTGATTGTTAAATCACATTCCATACTGTTGGTAATCCACAGAGCTGACACCAAAAAAATTAACATATTGGACATGTTAGTTGTAATGTCTAGCCTGACTGTAGCCATGCTATATACACATGTCAATTGTCAATGCATTTTTGTAATGTCCAATGACAAATAAATATTTCTGATTTCTGATTTTATATTATCATCCGAACCACTAAATGAACCTCAGATTCGTAATTTTAACCTTCTTTTTACAGCCACTTAGGAATCTCACCGACAAAAACCAATTGCATTTTTGGATTCAGCGTGAAAGAAACTGTAATTAAACATCTAAAAAGTACATCATATCCCAATGATGACATACTAAATAATTGCAGTGAAGTATTTTTTTCGGAAAAATACTTTACATTACATATTGGTATTTATCCGATTTAATTTTTGTAGGTATTAAACAATATTCTTTATTTTTCCCCGATGTAGCCTAAACATAAAATTGATTAATGGCTTGTTCGGTTTTTG